AATGCTTGCTTTTGGCAACATCTTGTCTCACCAGTTAACTCCACCTGTCGCCAGCACAGACGTTTGCCTTTCTGTGGGCACGGTATCTCCACAACACTTCCACCGCAAAAGCTGGGGCCGTAGGAAGGGCCTTTGTCCAAACAAAGATAAATCAAGGAACAGATGGGTCTATCAACACTTTTATGTATGATCTGATGTGAAGTTACAGGGTGTGTGTGCTCAGTTGTGTCTCCAACAGGAGAGACAGTTTGGAGAACGGGATGGAGCCTGCTCGCCATCATGTGTCTCTGCTCTCCTCAAGTGTTGGGAAATGGGATACTCGGGTACTCAGGTGACAGGCTCATTAAAAGGGGATGAGAAGGGAGCTTCACCTAAGCATTGGCACAGGGTGGGATTTTGAATTTTATTTTTATTGCAGAGCCTGTTGAATTGAGATCCTTTTCAATGGTGGGCAATCAGGTGCTGACACCCACTGCTGGCAGTGCCCTGGGAGCTTGTTTCCCAGTGTTTGATTGCATCTTGAAAACGTGTACTGCGCTAGACACCCAAGCAATGGTCACACACCCATGAATAGAGGTTAAGACACATCAAAGGAATAAACTGCTCTGCTTCCCCAGGTGTGGAAATACTGATGTTAATTTTCATACAGGTTTGGATGCTATATTCCTGTATGTCCCCCATCCACACACACCCCTTTCACAATGAGAGTCCACTTCTCCTATGGCATGTCAAGCACCTTTTTACATTTTCCCACTCATTAGGCAAGAGACACATGATGGTGTGTGTGATTTGAAACTTAGGCCCAGAAAAACCAGCAGCCCCCTGAAATACAGATCTCAATAAGGGCAATTCTTTAGGATTCCTTCCTCCGTTCAGGCCAACAATTGTCACTAAACTTGCCAGCCAGTCATACAGGTGCATAGGAGCCATACTCTCATAGCAAACCCAGGTATAAAAGCCATCCCTCCCCAAAGAAGAAAATCCAGACCATTTATTATTTATTTTTTTTTTCCATATAGTTTGGTTATTTTTAACGTCATAACTTTATTGAGACACCAGTAGTCACCACCTTCACTTTGTTAACCACAAATATATAGGACATTGTAAACACAGGTGCCGAGGTGGTGGGGTTTGCTGTAGTTGGATTTCAGAACAGACAGGGGGGAGGGGTGGAAGAGGAGGAGGAGGAGGGGTGAAGGGACACTCGGGCTTGGGCAAGACCACTCAGGGGATCCTGTATGCGGCAGGCCATCCGTGAGTCATCATATATACGTATATATGTATAGCTTTATATTATACATCTTTTTAAATATATATATATAATATATATACTATACACAGGCAGTAATGCGGCACGGGAAGGGGCAGGGCAGCCCAGGTGGTGGTAGAGATGCCACGCAGGCAGCAGGGATGGAAGGTTTGGACTTGCTGCATGAGGTGGCCTTGCTGGGCTCCTTGCCTGGTACCTGCTCTGGGGACCGGAGCTGAGACTCCTGTGGGAAGCACCCTGCAATGCTGCTTTCCCGGGTCCTCCCAAGTGCTTGATAGGGTGCAGGGACAAAGACACCTCCTCCCCTGAGGGAACTGCCAGGAATAAGGCAGAGGGGAAGGGTGTGTCATGGGGTGATGAACAATGTGGTGGGGATGTGGGTGAGCTGGGGATGGGGACATATCAGGAGACTGAAGCAACAAGTAGAACTGGGGCAAAGTTTCATCATCCCTTTACCCTTTGCAGCCCCTATGTCCACAAAGCAGGCCCTTAACTGGGGGCTTCCTAAGATAAAATGACATCAAGAGGCTCTTCCTCCTGACAGAGGATGCATAATCCTCTGTAATCCAGACAAATGCAGAGGGGGAAGAAAGCTGCCTTGTCGTTTTGCTTATACAGCCTTCCGTCTGATCTCCTAATCCCTAGAGTGGGGCTGATCTCACCTACATTTAGGAACTAAAAGGGACATGTTCCAGCCAGCTGCTCAGGTCTTGTCTATGATCACCAAAAACAGGCAGCACCTTATCAGAAGCGCCTAAGATAAGATAACCAACCCTTTGGGTAGGTCCTTATCTCTCATCAGCTGCAGAAACAGCCAAATGCCACTGGAAATTGCATTTTAAAGAGCTACATGCAAACAAGGGGAGTCCCACCCCCAGGTGTGTCACCACCAACTCTCTACTACAAAGGCTGAAAGCATGTCAATCCAAGGACAGTCTGTCTTCTCCCGTAAGAAAAAGCAAGAAGTTGCTCGCATATCTACTGTTGTAGTGTCCCCTGCCACACCAATGCCCTTCCTATTACACAAAGCAAGGAGGAAAGGGACAGAGACATGGGCAATAACGCAGGATGAAGTCACCTGGCTCATGTCTCACTAAAGTGCCAGCTCTGAGGGGGGAGGCTCATTCCTACCTCAAGCCCACCGGACCTCATCAGCTGGTTACATGAGGGAAGCAAGCCAAAGAGGATAAAGAAAAGCTTGCTCATTAGTCAGCCCAAAATTGTGTTCAGCCATCTATGTAACTCTGTTGGGAGAGTGGGCATGTAAGATGTTCCTGTGCTACACCTGAAAACAGAGCCCCAGGTAGACCCTCCCACATAGGGTCCATACCTCTCCTCATGCACCCGGTCCCTCACTTGCTCACCAAGGACAGGGACAGGTGATGGGTAGCTCCTCCCAAAAACACCCATTTTTGTGCTGAGGGCAGGTTATTTAAAACCTCCTACTCCTCTTGGTCTCCACCCCCCCCACACCCAAAACACAAAGCATGAATGATGACACAGATGAGTCTGGGTGAGTACAACTAGTTTTTCTCCTCCTCCACCTCATCATTCATTCTTTTCTCTCCCCCAGCAGGAGAAACAGATTGGAGGGAGCTCCCCCCACAGCCACAGTCATAACAAACCTCTCTCAATAAAGTAATCCCCTCCCAAGCCTAAATATTAGGCTGACCCCACAGAAGAAGCCTGAGGGGCTTCCCTCCAAAAAATACCCCTCCTATTTACAGTATTGCTTTCGCTTGCAGTCACAGAGCAAGGGATATGTGCCCACTCCCTCCTGGTGCATCCACAGGGCTAGCTGGTCCCCCTCTCCCATCCTCACCAGTGTTTAATCACCAGCAAGGGGGAGCAAGCCATGTGGAGGTCAAGCCATGGAGAGGACAAGCCACCAGCAGCACAAGTCTGCTGGTAGGAGCAGGTAGAAACAGTGCCCATATACAGCAGAGAACAACTGCCCCCTTCCCTCTTGGAGCCTGCAGCTCTATGGTTTCTACCCCTTCCCTGTCGTGGGGCATCTGGAGAGGAATTGTGCTGAGAGGAGGGGAAGACTGATAACCTCTGTGTCCTCCCGATGAGATTTTTACACAACCACAGGCCAGACCTGTGTCACATCCTCCTGACTCCTACGGGTGCTACAGGGAATAGGCTGGACACTGAAGGGGAGCACCTATGGATTTTGGATCTGCTCCTGATCTCTGCTCCTGGGGCCAGTGTTGCGTGGAGTCTAGGGGATGGAGCTCCTCATTGCTGGCAGGCAAACCCTGCTTCTTGTGCTCTGAGAGATGTCTGTGCTGGAGATGTCTATCCAGGTGGGTTTTTCTGAATTATTTCCCTTTAGGAGCTGTCTTCATACCCAGACCTTACTTATATCCGGGAATAAAGAGTGTGCTTCCACAGCCGTGTCTTTACTTGAAACAAAACCATGAGGAGTGAGGAATGATGCCCATGCGAGCTCTATCTGAGAGTCACTGCTGCCACCTAGGTGAGGCTTTAAATACAGACAGGATCTGAGATGCAGAGGACGCACTAAGGTATAGCTTATGTAAAGTACAGTTTTCAGAGAGCTCAGTCTGGCCCCAACTAATTCTCTCCACGCCAAGACCTCCTCTCCTTCTGAGTGGCAGGCAAAGCGCTGCTGCGCAAGGCGGGACCCTTCCCTGCTTGGTTGCACCCCTCTACAAGAGCCAGATGCATGCTGGCCATGCCAGCAGCAGTATTTTTTTCCAGAGAAAATCCTGCTCCATTCCTGTGTGCTATGAAGATGGTATCAGCAAGACACTTTGCGCTGTGGTAGCAGATGAATGGAGGGAGGGTTCAGCAAGACCTGAGGAGAAAAACCCAGCTTTTTTTCTCCTCCTTCTGCCCAGGGTGACATGGTAAAGCTTTCCTCTCTCCCTCAAACCAGCCCAGCTGGGGATGAGGGCTCTCAGAGCCCCCTTGAAGCCCACCTCCTCCATCCTTCCTCCCACAGGCACTGGGTCTGGGGCCCAGGGACTGGGCATGGCTCCTCTCGGCCTCACCAAGCACTGGTCTGAGAAGAGCAGCCAGCAGGATGTACAGGTGAGGGAAACCACCTCCACCTCAATCCAAGAGAGCTGGGGAAGGAGTGACTCTCACGGCACTGCCCCTCTGCACTGCCAAGCATCTTGCTCTAACCTGCAGATGTGCCTGTGGTTTTTGCACCTGCAAATCTTCCTCCTTCCCCTTCCATTTTATCTCTTTGTGCTTCCCCACCCCCCCAATACCACTTCTCCCCAAACCCTCTAAAAATAAAGCACCTCTCCCTCCCCAGTGTGTGGCAGAGAAAAGCCCCCCTGTCTTTGTATGGGGGGTGCCCTTCCTGCTCCCCTCCAGCTTCCCTTCCCCCCCTGCACCCCTGCAGGCTGCCTCCAACACCATTCCCCTCCCTGAGCTACCAGGCCCTCCAGCCTAGTAACAGATGCTCTCATGTCTACTTCATTGACACCATCTCTTCTAGGAAGGTCCCAAGTCCTTCTCACTCCTTCCCTCTGCCTCCAGCACCCTCTCCCCTGCCCTGCTGCTGCCATAGCCCCTCTCCTGTCCACCAGCCAGACTCTGCCCTCTGCAGCAAGTCAGGAGGGAGAGAAGGGAAGGGGGGGCCTTCTTGTCACTGGAAGAGTTTGGTTCTGGCAGGTAGTTTGGGGGGGGAGGAGAAGGAAGAGGTGATGGGGAAACATCTTTTTTTTTTTCCTTTTTTTTTTTTTTTTCCTTTTTTAAAAACGATAAATAAAAACAGATGACCCAGAAGGCTGGAGCATAGCTGAGAGCCACCTCTTGTGCCACTAGGCACGTGTCTGGTTTGTGCCTCGGCTTTCTGCCAGCAGCGGGAAAGGGGGCGGAAGGGAAAGGGGGAGGGAAAGGGGCATCGGTGGCTCAGTAGTTCTGCGTTTGGTACCCCTGTGTCTCGGTGTCAAAAGCATCTGCTGGGGGGGGCTGCTGGTATGTCCCCACCGCATCTGTAGCATCCTCCTCATTCG